CAATGAGTCTACATGCTAGGTTGATTTTTACAGAGGAGATTTTTGTAGCTAGTTCAACATTTTTATTTAATTCTTCCTCTTACAAGTCTCCAACATTTCTCAGAGAAAGTAAATAGATGCCTCAATTACAAATCAAACGATTGATTTGCTGATTTGCATTGATAAAAATTCAAATTGCAAATAGAAAGAAATGTAGAAAAATAAACCAGTTTGTGCAAATGAATGCAGTAAATAAAACTGATAAACTTAAATTTTAATAACTTGATCAATTAAAGAACAGAATTAATACCACTTCTTTGTTTAATTCATTTAGTCATTTATTTTGGATTTTGGCCGCTCTAGGCTAAAAGAGCAAAACAAAGTGACAACAACCTTAGCCTTGACTTATTTGTCTGTATTGATCTGCGATGCACCAATCCTTTCGTTTGCCTCCATCCAACAAACACGGGATGATAAAAGAAATCTGCTTTGTGCAGCATTAGGCTTTAGCCTCTGCTCTGCGTCTGACTTGGCAGCTTTAAGCCTGGAGGAAACCTTCACTGAGGGACCTCAATCAGTCTCCATCTCCTGGATCAATATCCATTAGTCTCAGAGCGAGCGCATGTGTGTGTGTGTTCGCATTGAGCGTGTGCAGAGATCTCAACCTGGGTGAATGGGCCTGAGTCATAAATGCAAACTCTGGATCACATTTCTCCCTCCCTCTTTCCCTGCTTGTCTGTTTCACTCAATTTCTTGCACACACAGACGCACACAAACACACGTACACACTGGTGTCCATTCAAACACAGGCCGACGTTATGAACGGTACTTTGTAGCCTCTAAATGTTCATTCACGAGGGGCCAGTAGTGAGGACTGTAAATTTTCCCGCTGCGAATGGTGCCCCAGCACTACCAACAAGTAATAAATGTATGAAACTGACACCAAATCAATCTCTGAGTCATCGTCGGTGTAGCTAAAGATACATTCGGAGTGGAATAATTTGAGGATTGACAACATGCCACAACAAAGCTCCCTGTATCACAGCTCTGAGGCTTTGGTATTAATTCCAGTCTGGGAGACAGAGAGGAAAGAGATAGACAGAGATGCAGGGAAGCATTTTTCTTTTTTAATATTAGTTGTCATTTTGCATCAGGACGGAGAGGACCGACACGACGCAGCATGAACGAACAGGGAGGGAAAACATGAAACAGACATCGGCAAATGAACGCTCAGCCAGCAGGCAGAGAGACAGACGGACGGATGGAAGGCGAGAAAGGAAAGAGAGAAGACATGGGAAAGACAAAGAAACCAAACGCTAAAGGATGGGAAAAAAGAGACGAGGATGGAGCTGGGGACGGAAAGAAAAAAAAAAAAAAAAAAAAGCATAGCCTGCCCTGTGGCGAGACACTCAAACCTGTCAGAACAAGATTCCCACAAGTTCAGCAGCAAAACAAAAAAGGTGGAGAGCCCGAACGTGACACTTAAGCTCCCACCGAGCTGGCTGTATACAGACAGTGGTAGGCTGAGGCCTGTATTAGTTTCAATACTGGTTTCACTACAGACATGGCTGACTCACAGCAATACAGGGATGCTCCATTTAAAAATGGTTTGAAACAATAAGAAAAAGCTCATTTATTATCAGACAGAACAGAGAAAGCTCAAGGAAGTGGAGACTGCACAGTGTGAACCAGCATATCAGACAAATAAGCATTTCCTTATACCCTAAAGAGCTGCACACTGGACGTGGCTCGCAGGTTGTTACCCAGTCCAGTTACATTTACAGTAAATCTCCATCCATAACTAGAATGATCTCATAAAGTAGGTGGTCTTGTCAACCACTGTCCTGCTGAAAGCAACCCTGTAAGTGCCGGACACACGGGCACTGAAACCTTTCCACTAGTACCTACTCAACTTGGCTCACCTTCGTTTTAGGATCTTCCACTCATATTCATATACGAGATGTATTGTTGAAATTGCCCTTCATTTCACGAAAATAAATATACTTGAGGGATTAAAAGTGTAGCTAAACTTCTGGTGCGGCCGACTCCTGATCAAAGTGGGCTTTAGTAAGGAAAACTGAGAATGTGCCGACTAAGAAAATCTGGATGGATACAGATTTTTGATATTGTTTTTATACCTCCTTAATTTTTCTGTGTAATAATTAAGTTCCCCAATAAAACAGACCAGTTGTTGGGCATGAAGTCTTTCAGCTCTTAACTACAGTAAACTCTGAAAGCTGAACTGACATAAACAAATATCAGCCGTCGATTTCAGACAAGAGGCCTAGTATCGGTATCACATCAGCTCATTTCTAAGGAAAAACAGGGATATACTTTCCCTTAACACAAACAGATACACACTCTTGTCACTCTTAGCTTCACATAGTGTTAAAAATCAGAAATAGTCGCCTAAAGTTTAAGGTTAGTGCTTGAACACAGGCAGGATTTGAATCTCTGCCCATTGACAGGTTGATTGAATGCATCAAGTACAGACTGGCCTGAAATATAAATGACACTGGTGTTAAAATATTCATACGATTAAACAAAGCCAGCTGCAGATAATGGCACGAAATGTTCATTCGCGACCGTCGAGTGTGTGATTTCTTCTCACTGTATCAACAATTTCAGTTCTAATAATTCGACAGAGGCAGCCCAAACCATGCTAAGTTCAACCCCAAGCTCACACACACAACACAAGCTAATTATCGCTCTCACTGCTTCTCGCAGACAAACAAAAGTTAATATAAGGCTGAAGAGCTCTTTTGGTAACTAAAGAGCTATTTCTAAACTACAAATTAAAACTGGAGCAGATGGGCTTGTGGTAATAAGAACAGGGGGTGGGGTGGGGGGCCATATCTAGAAATTTCAATTATACAATAAATAATTTGGAACAGATCCGATTAACGGTGAGGCAGAATGGCTGCAGCTGTGCAACATCAACAAAAACACACAAAGTGCGGTCGTTAGCGAGTTACAGGATGCCTCTTCTTGCCTCTCTTTCCTTAAGAGGAAGCCATCAGATCAGCTCAATACGGATACCAAACTTCCCTCTGTGGCTTATTATCTCACTAGACACAAAACCACAGGAGCCGAGGAGGCTGAATGTCAATACGCTGCATTCTCATCCTTGTTTACAGCCCCTCTAAAGTGTACTTCAAAATCTACCAGACATGATGCTGTAGTAGAACATGCAGTGATTTTTGGCAGAGTACATTAGCACCCTCTGCATTTTATTCCTCATACACTTCACTGTTGTATATTTCTGTGTCAGGTACTAAAATGCATAGCACCTGAAAACAAACAAACTGCAAATACCATTACACATGATACGCAACCAACAACCGATTCACTAAGAAATGGTTTTAGCGCTTCTCAGCAGGTTACTCTTACAAACTTGCAGCGTACAACAGTAACCACTGGGGTGTATTTAAGTGGAGTTAGATGATGACACTTGCAGACATGACATCAAGCACTGGATCTCAATCAGCAGCCCCTCTGAGACGAGCTAAGGGTTATCCAGCACATGCAAGAGGGTTTTCACATGAAAGACCCACAAACACTGCAGGCAGACCTTCAGCATTTCATTCGAGTATATTGTGATTATCTGTACAAACTGTGTGTTTCATGCTGCACGTTTACTGACAGCCATGCATAACAAACGCCATCCTTAAGTCACGTTTTCACGGTGTCAAATCGTGAAAGTGATATCAAATCGTACGGCCTGTATTCCACTGTGCTCAGACGTCCGGTAGTGTCCCCAGGAATTAACATGTTTTATGAGCTATTGTTGGAGCCGATGCAATGACTGTAGGCCCGTGTTAAGACTTCAACACAGTCCTCGCTGACAAATTAGCCTGCTTAGCTAATGCTAGCGATTATGCACATGCGACGGGGTAACATCTTTATATTGATATAATAAAGTGTGTGTTACATGGAGAAATGTGTGTCACTGACATTCGGAGGTTTGACCGAGGAAAAATAGACGCTTTCGCTTCTGCTAGCCATGTTACAAAACTAGCTTATCCTGCACAGTGCACACCCAGGCTATACGTGCCACGCCGGGTATTGTTTACATAGCTTGCGCCGTTGTGCTATTTTTTTGACAGCATGGAAAACTACAAACAAAACCGACTTGACGGAATACCAAAGCTAAGCGGACACTCCTCATATACGTTTCCTCCCAATACACAAAAAACCACCCACCAACAAACCAGCTTTAACTGCCAGGCTAACTAAGCTAAACCAGCTAGCGAACAGGATTCACCAAATCTGATCAGGATTCACTAGCTCTGAGGTTAGCAGCACTGGTAGCTGCTGTTGGAATAAGCAAGCTCCTGGGTCTATTATCGGACAGCTGTGTACGGCTCCATGTCTCTTTCTAATAAACTCTAAAACTACTCCGCTAGCTTAAACCTAAATATACATTAAAGTTGTCCCACTTTAACGCTTAATTAACACCAATAACCAAAAGTCGGCAGAATCCAAACCAGTCAGGCTGCGTTTGAATAGAAAACGCATATTTACAATTGCTGTTTTACCCCCTTCTTTTATTTCTCCTAACGCCAGCCTGTGCCATTTCATTTATTTTTGCTGTCAGTTTACATCGATGCGAGTGGTTTTAAGTTATTGGATCGGGAGGTTGGTAACACGGAGTGCTGCACTTCTTAAAATACTGCAATATCCAGGCGAGGTGTCCGGAGATGGAACTCTGGTCATTAGCAACCCGGCAAGCGTTGTCTTTCCATAGTCTGGTTGAGCTATAGGATGCAGCTGCTCAGAAAAGGAAGTCAAGGAACATATTTCGGAGATGCCCGCAGCTGTGTGGGTCACTGGCATTTATTGTGAGTTTCATTTATGTCGACAGTTATGAAATTCAATGGCTAAAACCTCCCATATTCTTCACTGTGCGAGCCCCAAACCTTTCAACATGGACAGGAAAAAATGTCCCTCACAGAGCTGGACCAGAGGAGAGCTCTCCGCGGAGCTCAGTCCGACCTCTCCCACTCTTTTCCTGGGCTTACCGGTTTTGAAGAACGCCTCTATGTCGCTGGCGTCCTTCGTGGTCTCCTCCGCTCCTTCCCCGGAGCTCATGGCTGCCACAACCCGAATCTGGAGCTCGGTATCTCCCAAGTAGAGTCCCCCAAAATATCGACAAAAAGATGGCACACAATCACTCCTGTCCTGACAAAATCGTCATTAAAGCCACACGGACGGTTGCGGGGAGTCGTTGACGCTAGCAGTGCCATCTGCAGACCTCCATCTTGGGGTAACGTAATTGGAAACGATCAGCCGGGGGCACCGGGTTCCTCCTCGGAGTGGAGCCGAGGGGAGAGTCGCTGGAGCGGTGACGAGAGGGGGGGACGGGAGGGGCTGGGTCGCTGCTCGGTGAATCTCCGTAAGCTTTCGGAAATGAGCAGAGGCTGGGTCATCGACGAACGACGGCGGTCACTGTTAACGCGTGTGCGACCAACTTACGGCGAAATATAGGTCACAAAAAGCCGACACACAAACACTGAAAAGAAAATAAAGTCCGACGGTTGTGGTAAATACGTAAAAAGGACCCGTTTAAAAGCTGTCTAACCCACACTTTCGGGGAAAGCACCAACTTTTATGGAGAAAAAATACAACCGTTCCACATGGTTCAAGTGCTCCTGATTGTTTCAGCGACTCAACCATAAAAAGTGTATAAATGTTACGTTAGCCTACTGAAAGCAAAGAGCAGAGATAAGATAACCTCCCGGATACAGCCATACATGAAAGGTCCTCTGTTTTGATTCAGGCCATCTCATTTTCCCGGAGCGCTGATTGTGACCTGGACTACTCACGCCATCTGCCGGCCAATCCTGGAAGTGCTGCTGTATCAGTGATATGTTTACAAATCAAGACATTTACCCACAGCAGGGGTGTCAAACATAAGACCCCAGGGCCAGAATCGGCCCCTCAAAACACTCCCACTTGGCCTACTGGACTATATTTTAATACATTTTACAGCTTGTCTTACTGATAAACACTTCATCCAGTCTTTCATACTACACCAAAGTAACACATACGTGACAGAAAAGTTCTTTTTTTTCTCTGTCTAAAATAGAAATTATTGGGTGTGTTTCCACAAAAGAAGCCCACTGAAATACATCAACATTCCAAATTTATAATTTTTAACAGTGCAAATTAAAGTCAGTAAAGTTACCATATATTGGTTCTTGAGTGTCTACATTTTACGTGTATGTAAAACCTGTACAAAAACCCCCACATTGATTTAAAGGAACATTCATTTATAATAATTTTTCTTAGATTTACACTATCAGTTTTCATGGCAATAAAACACATCAAAGTTCAGCCCTGTCTAGTCACAGGCAACTGCTTCACAGTATGTGGCAAAGCTGCTGTAATATGTTAAGAATGTGTCTCAACATTTATACTTTTCTTCAAAGATTTAAGTTAATTCACTGAAATGAGCATGTGCATGTGTCCTAATACAGGTTGTGCTTTTCTATCAGATGGTACTTGATGAGCTGTCCTCCATAAAAGAGCAAAGTAGACTGCTGCAAATGAAAAAAAGTTCATTTTTGAGTCAATATCCAGCCAAATTTGATGGAAAACAACAACAGTGAAGTATAGAGCTGCAGAAAACAATGTACAGTGACAGATAAATTGTAATTACATAACAGGAACTAAAAAGTAGCATTATAACTGATGGTATTCCTTATTTTCCTTATATGAAATTCAATCAAAACAAAATGAATTACAAACATAGAATTACAAAATTATTAAGTAAGCTCATAAAACAAATAAAACAACCAAAACACATCCAACATACCACTTATTCTATGTTTATAATAAGTTGTTTCTTTGTTTTTTAGAAATAACACAGGTATGGCTCAGCCATAGAATAACGTTTAAACTATGTAATGCGTGGTTTTCATCAGCTTACCACTGGTAGCTTTGATGTGACGACCACAAGCGTGGGAGTAGGTTAGGAGCAAAAAACTCAAATTTCCCAAATTCAGTAAAAACACTGAAGTTTGAAATGCTCCAGGCCATTATTGATTGGTCAGATGCAAATATGTCACTATCTGTCGCACAACCTGATCTTTGCTGATTGGCTGAGCTGTAACTGTGGTGAGGGGCACTGGTGTCAATATGAAGATTTGAGCTGGAGTAAAGGCAGGATTCATGTGCATTTTTGTGAAATGAAGATTGATGAAGTAATGTAAAAACATTCAGATACATCCAGATGAACAAATGGATCACGTAAGGTCTTATAAGACTGAGCCAGTTAATAGCCATCACTTGACTCTGCGAGGGACAGCAGGCCGAGAACATCGCTTGAGCTCATCAAGCAGAGGTCTTCCAGCATCACACAGCTGATGTTTCAGTTTAAAGTAGACTGGTTTTGCTCCCTTTGCCCTTCCTTTGAGCTCGCTTTCTTCTGATTGGCCTCTCACAGGCCAAAGCCTTGAACAGCAGCTGGGTGTGGCTACTGTGACTCACACTAACCTAGGTGTTCATTGTTTGTATGGTTTCTAAGCTCATCTTCTCTCTTTCCTTTCACTCTAACCGGTTAAGTCGGACGTCTGTCGAGCCAGAGGCTGGTTCTTCCTGTCTCTAGGAAGTGTTGTTGTTGTGTTTTTATGCTTGCTTACACAAGGAGGACCAGTTTGTTTTCTATAACATGAACATTTCTGTGTAACCTGTGAAAGTAATACACAAACAGACCCTTACCTCCTACACCCATATACGCAGCATGCTATCAAATAATTGAGCGAGTGAAAACAGTTATATTGACGTCTGAGGAGGTGTAGTGTCCCACAGCAAAATTGATTTATCAGTGGGATGACATTATAATGTACTCCTGACTGGAGTTCAGCATGAAAGTGACCTTTAGCTGTAACGTATTCGCTGCACTAGGTTCAGGACTGGAGATGCTCTGCAGTCTTTCCTCTGAAGCAGCTGTTAACAACATGATTTCAAATGCAGATCTACAAGAAAAGATGCATTTTTACCTGTGTTTGCAAAATGAGAAAAAAAACAACAAAACAAAAACAAACTGTGATGCATGTGCTCACAGTTTACGGCCTTTTACGTGTGGAATTCAACTTTGGACCGAGTTTATTTTTTCTGCCCATTCAAGTCAAAAAAAAAATCCCTCTGAAATGAGAACTATTCTTGTTCCTTGTCTCACTTTAAAACAGGTGTGTCAAACATCAGGTCTTGGGGTCAGAAATAGCCCACCAGAGACTCCAATCTGGTCCGCTGGACGACTTCGGAAAACATGCAGGAGGGCAGACATGTGAGACTGTATTTTCCTAGGTTTTAAAGCTTTTATTAATGATAAAGACTTCCTCCATGGGTGCTCACACTTCACCAGTGGTAATAAGTAATACATAAATAATTAACTAACAGGGAGTTTCTGTTTTTCCACAATCTAGTACAGACATTTATGACATTTATATTGGCTCTAGCCCACTTAAGATCAAAGTGAAATTAGGTTGACACCTGTGCTCCTGAGTTTGTGTTAAACATCACAGACCTCTGTGCTGATATCATAAGAAATAAATGATCTTCTTCGCTCACCAACAGCTGATTTAAATAAAGTATGTTGGCATTTTAAATCAGCAAGTGAAGCTCATTTATTACCTACTTTGCCTTCTTATGCAGGTGCTCATGTGTTGCTTGTGAAACATCCAGAAGGGGGCAGGCTGACACTAGTGACTGACTGGTCTTCTTCCACATGGGTATGTAAGGTTTTACATATCAGGATATAATAAACATCATGTGGTTCTTAGCGGGCCTTAAAATGAGGGTGAGTGGCATCCAAGTGCTGCTAATCAACTGCATTTGATAAACTGATTAAGGTGGAAAAATATCAGCAATGACCTTAAGGAGGCTGTCTGGCTCATCTACAGAAGACCTTTTCCAAACATTCTGAACAGAAAGAGATTATTCAGGAGCGGTAAACATTAAAGCTTGTTGCCAACCTTCCCAGCAGTGGATGTCTCGGTGAATTCACCCCAAGGTCAGACCAGCCAGTGCTCAGAGAAACTACAAAAAACCCAAGACTCTACAGGCCTCAGTTACGTTAAATGTTAGATTTCATGACAGTGCAGTTAGAAAGAGACTGAACATGTATGGTCTGATTTGAAAGGTTTCCAGGAAAAAGCCTCTTTTCTCTAAAAAGAACATGGCAGCGCAGCTTAGGTTTGCAAAGTTGCATCCGAACAAACCCTAAGACTTCTGAATCTTCTCAATGCTTGGCGATAATGCACAGAGTCGTGTTTGCAAAGAAACAAACATGCCATATCAGCACAAACACAGCCACGGGACCTGGACACTGTGCCGTCACTGAGTCGGCCATGATGTCCTCTGTGTACCAAAGTCCAAGGAGCTTGGAAAGAAAAGCGTCTGGACTTCTTTAAGTTTCTTCAAGTTCTCAGATGAAAGGAAGAAACTTAAAGTCCAGATACTTTTCTTTCCAAGCTCCTTAGACTATGATGACCTGGACGACTGAGAACCTTCACAGACACTTTGTATACCAAAGTATTCTAGAGTCAAATGTGTGAGGCCATCTCTCTTAAAGCTAACACTTGGCTGAGCAGCCGTTCTACAGCAGCATGGCTGGAAAAGACAAGAATCAAGGTGTTGCAATGGCACAATCAAAGTCCACACTTTAACCCCGTTAATGTAGCAGGACCTTAAGAGAGCTGTGCATAAACAAATGCTTGCAAACCTCATTGAAGCGAAGCAACACTGTAAAGAAGAGTAGGCCAAAATCCCTCCACAACAATGGGAGAGACTAAAACTTTCAAACTTAACTGAGAGAGGAGGTACTTGCTTTTAAATTAAGCGGCTGTTATTAATGATTTAAATTTATTTATTTTTTTAAAAAGAGCTCGAAATCTCTTGCAAAATTCTTCTCATATAACCTTTTTGTCTCTTCTTTGAACAAGAAACTACACCAATAAAGACATCATGCCTGGAGAGATATGTGACCAGTCAGGTAAAGGTTGCAACTTTCGCTAAAATCTTGTTTTCAGCGTGAACCAAACTGCTTTTGGATTGATACTGAATGAGAAAAACTATTTTCAAGGCCTTTAATTGTGAGTCCAAAGTTGATTTCGTTAGTACTTTAAATCAGTTTGGATTAGAATTTAAAGTGATGCCTGTATCGTTTCTAATTAGCATTTCATGAGTCATTTGCTGCTCAGGTGAGTTATCATTCTGTACAACGCTTCTGCAAGAAAAACCCCTCATCATCAGCTGAAGCTGTGCATCCGGCCTCGCACAGATGAGGACTTCAAATACCCACTGCTGCTCTGAATGACATAAACCAGGTGGATATGCCACATTTCATTCCGCATTAATAAAACACGATGTGAAGAGGTGGGATGAAACTATACAGATGAGAACGCGGCTCTGTGGTGGTGATCTCTATTTAATAACTCGGAACCACCAAACGGCTGACTCCTTCCTTCAGGTTGTTTCATTCCCTGCCAAATAGCAATATAT